TGATGGTGGTGGTGGTGGTGGTGGTGGTGATGGTGGTGGTGGTGGTGGTTATGATGATGATGATGGTGGTGGTGGTGGTGGTGATGGTGGTGGTGGTGGTGATGATGGTGGTGATGATGATGATGATGAGTATGGCGGCGGCATCCGGTGTCGAGGACGTAGAGACCGTCGCCTCAGCCCAGTATTCTGTTGGTCATCTCCCAGCAACTTCGTCGTCCCTTTCCGAAATCAGCAGCAGCAGCAGCAGCAGCAGCAGCAGCAGCAGCAGCAGCAGCAGCAGCAGCAGCAGCAGGAATCGCTGTTATGGGATCTACTTTGAGCTTTCTAAGCAAGGAAGTGCAGAGATTCTCAGCTGACCCAACTATTGTGGGGTCCGTGGATGAAATCGTGAGGTCAGGGCTCAACGGTGACCACTTCTTACCACCTTGGCTTTCAGCGCGGGATCGCAAAGACCGGATTTCGCTGCTTATTGCCTCCGATGTGTTGGGTTGTTGTAGGCTGGGAACAGTGAGGCGTGACAAGCAGGTGAGGGGCGAACTTTCAGGCGCATGCGGACGAGAACATGCTAGTGGTCATAGGTGGGACCACCTCAGGCATCGCGCCCCAATCTGCCAGCTGCGAAACCTCGAAATGGCTAGAATATTTAAAAGAAGATGAAGACACGATCACTGGGACGGCAGATTTATTGGCCTTAGTTTTCGAACTCGAACTGGAGTTCATCATCAGAGACTGCTAGAGTGCAGCAACGTGTGAACATTTATATCGCTGTGCCGTGAGAGGGAGGGACTACGGAGGAAGGCCATGAGTGCGACTTCGCCAACACGTGGATATTGGCGCGAGCCGGCAACAAGACGGACGATAACTGTTGGAGGAGCGGGTGTCGGACACCAACTCTATCAATTGACACATTGATTTGCCTGCGTGTTATCACGCACTTCGCCCACGCAGCCAGGTGGCGCAGCTCACACCGTCGCGAGGTACAAACGGCGTCACCACGCCGGGGACCATTGTGGGCCAGGCAACACAAAACAGATCTAGCCACGAACGTAGTACCCTCGCCCCACGGCACAACGATATAAATGTTCACACGTTGCTGCACTCTAGCAGCCTCTGATGATGAATTCCAGTTCGAGTTCGAAAGCTAAAGCCAATAAATCTACCGTCCCAGTGATCGTGCCTCCGTCTTCTTTTAAACAAGAACCTGGGATGCGCATATTCTCTTCCATTCGTGATTAGAATATAGTCGGTTTAGCTGGCAGCGCGACCATAGTTTGGATGCTTGCTGGATGCTGGTGTTAGCGATAACCATCCAGTCCTAGTCACCATTTTCGCGACAGTAACCAAGCCTAAAGCAGCCAATATGATGGTTGTTTGAGTTCTCTCCCGACCCAATTCGACTATCCCAGCTCCCGGAAACAATCACCAGATCACGGCGAGGGAGCCTTTCGGTCAATTCCTGCAGCTATAAGTGGCGGGTTTCTTTGTCGCACAGATCGGCAGCTGTTGTCGCGTCTCTTCAGTTATACGTGGACCGGCTGGTCATTACCTGGGTGCCACGCACACAGTGCATGCTGCGAGACTGCGACCACCACGCCGTGTCCCGAGTCGCGCGGACGGGACGCGGGTTGGACCCACAATCTTGATTGCTCGCGAGTCCCAGCCTGGCATCCGGACAGCAGATATCCACGTTGCACTGATGAAGACTGCGCGCCGTCAGGCTTTGCGCACCAGAGTTCGAATATCACTCCTGAATGAGTGGTCCAGTTCGTCCGCGCCATTGAACCAAAGCTGCGGATCCCGTTGGCCCTCGTAGACGCCGCAGCATAGGTCGCAACATTGTAGTCGAACTTTGAAGATTTTCAGTGCAGGGACGCTTCCAACGGCCACTCGCATTGTTTCTTCGAGGTTACCCCCACTAACGCTTTGACTCAAAAATCTAAGCACACGGCTGACGGCTGCCCGCGGTTCCCGATGTCACAGCGCCGTCATCGGGCTTTGCGGCAGTCGCGTACCAGACTCCGGCCGCCACGCCCTGATAGCACTGTCGCCGCCGGCCCGCACATGAGAACCTGCTTATTTAGCAGCTGACCTTCGCCGATGGCGACTCCACTACCTACCACCCACCTATGCGGCAGTTCGTTCTGAGCTCGAATGGACACCAGGAGACGAACACTGGACGGTGTACGGATACTAGTGGACCGGTGCAACCGTGTTAGACAATAACTTCGAGATAGTCATTACCCGCTACAGCAGCTTGCTTAGGCATGAATCCCGGTAGATCTGGGGTCAATTCTTCGATACAACGTACAAGGTCAAGTTTTTTGAGTTGGTAACCCTTGTCCCCACACGCGGAAGACCCATCAGCATACGCCGTCACTAATGGTTGCACCCACTGGCAACAAGACTGCCCACTCCCGTTGGGTATCACACCTGCAAACTCGGCGAGTTTCACCCCACAAAAGAAGATTTTGTGGCCGTCACCTGTCTGCGAGAATCACTCAATACCGCACTGATCCTCGCGCACACACGCACAAAAAGACATGCACGCGTGGCAACCTAACATCCCGAACCATATATATTCACACACACACACACATATATATTCAAAAAACCACAAGCAGAAATACAGAGATACGTGGATAAACTGCCGTCGGGAAAGGAGAGGTAGAAGCAGCTGGAGTTTCGGTTGGGTGCAGCTCCGAAGTCAGTGTTGGGACTGTACATGTACGTGTTGGGGGTGGATAGACGGTGCAGACAGCAAGATGACGGGGCTCAGATCGCGGCCTCATCGTTCATATCTACCACTAGGGCCTCCCGGTTTTCGTACATCCAGAAGGCTTGCAGATCAATGAGGATGCTGATCACAGTGTCGCCCTTGCGGCTGTGTTGTGAGAAAGAAACAGAGGATGAATCAAGTCTAATAAGGCACAGTAACTGTGCTTACTCATGAAATATTAACCGAAATCCTGGAACGCGTTTTGACTCGAAAAGATTATTTAAGTAGAGGGGAGACGACAG